CCCGGCCCCGCCACCTTTGACCCGGCCTGCTGGCGCGCTGAAAGCGCCGGCCGGCGCCGCATACCTCGCGGGATTTGCGCCGCGCCGCCCGCGCGCTCCCGCCGCGCGTTTTGTTCGGGGGCCGGGGGGCTGCAGCTGCGTGGGGGGCAATGCGCGGCCCCGCTCGCCGAGCTGGCCCCGCACCGTGGAGCCCCGGCCAGCTCGCTGCACGCGTGTGTCGTGCGGCTGCGCCCCGCAGGCTCCCAGGGGCTGCTCCTCGCGGGACAGCGGCCCCAGAGCACTCGCTTGCTCCGGTTCCTCCTGCCCSCTGTGCGCGAGCACCCAGCCCGGCCAGGGCCGCGACTCGGCCAGCGCCGCCTTGAGAGCGCCCCTCCTCCGCTGCTTCTCTTTGTGGCATTTCTTGGTTACCTTGAACATGTCGCCGCTGCTAATGACTTGCTAATAGCGTTTTCTAGATAATTTTATTTCCGTAGTCCTCACACTTGAATGTCTTCAAGAAGCTCGCGTTTATTTGCTTAATGTGCGAGCAAAATGCAATCTGCAGCGACTTGCGGGCTCCGAGCAGCCAGCAGCGGCTACACTCATCCGCGTTGCTCCATAGCGCCCGGGCCGCGCGTTCCCGCTGCTCTCCTGCAGTATGTGCGCCGCCGGTGCCCGCGGCTCTGCCGCCGGCCGCCCGGGCGGCACGAGGCTGAGCGCGGCCTGTGCTCTCTTGCAGGGACGGACATGGCCGTGTTCTGCCTGCTCTGCGGGAAGCGCTTCCAGACGCAGGCGGCGCTGCAGCAGCACATGGAGGTGCACGCCGGGGTGCGCAGCTACATCTGCAGCGAGTGCAACCGCACCTTCCCCAGCCACACGGCGCTCAAGAGGCACCTGCGCTCGCACACAGGTAGGGCCCGCGCGCCCCGTCGCGCGCTCCGCGAGCCCCGCGGGAGGAGGAGGAGAAGCCCCCTGTAATGAGCTCATCAGCTCTCCCGCGACATGTGGSCTCCCCAGGGAAGTGCCGCTGCACCCGCTTGGGCAGCTCTCGCGTACCAGAGGCCTCTAATCAGCCACTCYGGGTCCTAACGGGATCACGGTGACCGGCGCTGCGTGTGTGTGCGGGGACACGAGATGCTCCCTGCAGCGCCAGCACAGCCTGTGCGCATGTGGCTCAGGCGGGGACACTTGGGGAGCACTGTGCTCGCCATGCCCCTTTCCTGTTGCCCCTCGCCCRCACAAACCACCCGGGGCTACCGCCAGCAGTAGCACCCGGCAGCCCCGCGAGCTGCCCCGGTGCGCACGGCTCCAGCGAGGGCAGCGCCGCGGTGCCGGGCGGCACGAGGATTGATGCATTGGGTCCCGCGCCGCGAGGGCGCCCGGGGCCGCGGGGCTGCTCTCCACGAGCTCGGAGCAAGCCGGGAGAGAGTAAAATATCATTGTCGGGAGGAAGTGAAAGCCCAGGCATGTGAGTATATAACGAGAAGGACAATTTATGCCCAGGCACGAGTGCAGTTTGACATGGGGATAATGAAAAAACGTAGGTCATTGTGGATGACTTAAGCCTTCACAGCTGAGGAAAATGTATGAAATGCGAGGAACATTACACGCTTGGCAGCTCTGCACATCTGCAGGAGGACAAGTGAAATACAGTGGGCCATTCTTTACCATAGACTGCGCTTGTAGGATATGCAGCGCAGAGAAATTGTAATTACAGTGACAAGACAAATCAGTAATATTTAAATATTCATGAGCAAAGTCCTGCACGATCAATCTATCTTTATTGTCCTTGCCTTCGCCGCTATAATAAATAAGTAGCTGGAGCCCTCACCTTGCGCGCGGCGCCGGGTGCTGTGCGTGCCGCCCGCCCGCCCATGTGCTGCGGCGCGAGGCCTCGCAGTGCTGCCCTGCACGCCTCCCCACGCGCTGCCCTGTGCTCGCTTGCAGGCGACCACCCGTACGAGTGCGAGTTCTGCGGCAGCTGCTTCCGGGACGAGAGCACGCTCAAGGGCCACAAGCGCATCCACACCGGCGAGAAGCCCTACGAGTGCAACGGCTGCGGCAAGAAGTTCAGCCTCAAGCACCAGCTCGAGACCCACTACCGCGTGCACACAGGTAGGTGCCGGCCGCCGCGGCTCGCTCCGGGAGGCCGCACCCTGCTGCTCTGTGCGCTCCGGCACCTGGGGCCGGGCAGCGCAGGGAGCGCAGCGCAGCGCCCGCCTCTGCGGAGAGGCCTGTGCACAGAGCGAGTGTTGATTCTGTGCGCAGTTCGGGAGCCCCGCGCGCTTGCCCGGGCCGTGGGCGCTGCCGCTCATGCAGCGCTCACTCTGTTTGCGTGCAGGCGAGAAGCCCTTCGAGTGCAAGCTGTGCCACCAGCGCTCGCGGGACTACTCGGCCATGATCAAGCACCTGCGCACGCACAACGGTGCCTCGCCCTACCAGTGCACCATCTGCCTCGAGTACTGCCCCAGCCTCTCGGCCATGCAGAAGCACATGAAGGGCCACAAGCCCGAGGAGATCCCCACCGACTGGCGCATAGAGAAGACCTACCTGTACCTGTGCTACGTCTGAGGGACGCGGGCGCGCGGGGCAACACGCGTGTCCTCCACCGCCTCCTGTGTCGCTTCTCCTTAGTTGCTGTTACCAGGACCTGCTGCGGGGTGGCCGGGCAGCCCTGCCCTGTCTCTCTTTGCAGCCGCGCGCTCGGGCGCGCTGCCAGGCTGCACGGGGCGAGCGAGCAGGGCTGCGCGTCCCGCGCCGTGGCCGGCGGCCCGCTCCCCGCAGCGCGTTCCCGCAGCCGGTGCGCGCTGCCGACACGGGAGCGGGCTGCCCGGCGCGCCCCGGCTCGCCAGGACTGCACACGCAGACGGGCCGCTCACTCCAAGCACTGTACTGGGCGCGGGGCACTGGGGACGAGGCACAGGGGGCAGCTGGCGGCACGTTGGCAAGGAGGGGCGGTTTGGAAGGCTGTAATTCCTCCTTTTCCTCCCCTTTCCCATCTCTGCTTGGGTGCGGGGAAGTTCAGCGGATGTGCCGAGCGCCCGCCCCACGCGGCACGTGCGCGGGAGCTCGCGCCCGGGGTGCTGCCGGTCACGCTGCTCCAATAAAGGCTGTTTCCGCACCCGTGCCACGTGCCGGTCTGTTTGCGAGCACGCAGCCCCAAGCGGAGCCCCTGCGCACTTGCTGCCCTGCGCCGGGCGTCTCCCCGTGCGCTTCCTTTTTGCCTTTTCCGCAGGGGCGCGCGGACGATGCCCGAGAGGTTTTTGAGCAGCGCCGAGCACGAGGAGCCCGCGGAGAGGTGGCTTTGCTTCGTGGCTTTGGCTTCGTGTCTGTTTTTTTTGCGATTGTTTGAAGTTTTCTGCGTTTAGCACATTTTACTTGAAATTACCTCGTTTTTTTTTGTGACCTCATGAGCTTTTATTGATTTGGATGGGGAGGGGGGCGTGTTGCTTTTTGGCGCGCGGGGCGGTGGCCCCTCGCGAGCGTTACCTTTACCAAATGGGTGTTTCTTTGCGCGGCCTCTGCACGGCAGGGCCCGGATTGTTGATTCTGAAAGCTACCTCTTGAGTTTGGGTTTGGGGTTGTGTTGCGGTTGTGAAGCACAGTTTGCAATATTTGTGTTGCCTTTGTGGTGTCCCTTCGGTTCTCATCTCATGCTTTACTTGCGGGTGTGTCTTATTTTGCAACGGAGCTGCGTGTGCGTGAGGCGGCGGGGCAGGACGCCACGGAGGGGCGGCGCAGGGACGCGCAGCTGCCGCGGCCCCGGCCGCGGCCCCGTCCCCAAGGCCTTAAAGCGGGGCAGGCGCCGCGATGCGAGCGGGCGCCCACACGTGCCGGGCTGCGGGAAAGGAGGGAGCAAGGGAGGCAGCGTGGAAACGTGCGCGGAGCCCGCGGATGTCGTCTGCAACGTGAAAGAGCGCGAGCCCGGGCGGCTGCGGGGCCGTGGGGCCCGGCCCCCCGCATCCTTGTGCCTACAGACACGCGGCAGCGCCGGCCCGTGGCCGCCGCGGCGCGCGCTCCCCGCACGCCGTGCGAGCGCTCCGCGCGCGCGGGACGAGCTGCCCGTGGCGCCCCGTGTGTGCCCCCGACTATATGTACGTATCTCGTAGCACTGAGGACCAAGCGCCGTGCTGGACCAAGCGAATGCGGCTTCCTTTCGTTGCTTGTCTTGATGTCGTGACAGCCCAAGTGCCAGTCTGGTTGCTCGGTATTGAGAATAGTGTTTTGACCTAATTGATGTTCTAGTTCCGTCTACCTCAGCACCTCCTGGTAGCCTCATTTTAGAAGGTGCCCAAGTTTTTGTTTCTGTTCTGGCAGATTATCAGTTCCTATTTTTTTGTACACCTCTCTGTTCCCGGCTCCTCGTCCCGTTTGTTCCTTGGCAGTTCTGCTTGCGAGTCCTACCTGTTCTCTAGCCACAGATGCAGTTAGCGAAAAAGTTGAAAAAAGGAAAAAAAATCCCAAGTTGTGGTGTCTTCTAGTTGCAGCTCTCCACGTCGGCCTTCATCCTGTGTAGATCCAGACGCATTTCTTTGTAAAACTTCAGTGTTTCTGGCAGAGGAAAGAAAGAAAAAAAAATAAAAAGGAATATACTGCTGCAGGTTTTTTTCTCCATGTGTCACTAAGTGAAGTTCGTGCCTTCTATAGCAAAGAGAATATTTTTTACATCCTACTAACAGTAGATTTTTTTGTAGTGGACATTTTTTGTATTTTTATTTATAAGTCTCATAAGGAAAATAGCAATGTTCAGTTGTATACCTTGAATCTGCAGTTAGAAGAAATAATAAAGTTACTTCAGTTGTCTCGGCCTGCTGTCCCTTTCTTCCGCGCGCCGCGGGGAGCCGCGGGCGCCCTCGTCGCGCCGTCCCCGCGGGAGACGCCGCCGGCAGGACCGGCCTCCCTGCGCCTCGGAGACGCCCGCGGGCAAGCAGGTACGTGCAGAGCAGCCGCGTCCTTCCCCGGCAGCGCCCGCCGCGCTGCTCGCTCGTGGGCACTGCTGTGCGCTCGGGCTGCGCGGGGTGCCCCGGTGCTGCCCGGTGTCCGTGCGGTGCCCGACGGGGCCGGGTGCCGCTGCCCTGCCTTTGCCTCCGCGCGGGCGGATGCTTCCCGGGATGCGCACAACTTCGCCTCAGTGGAAGCCAAGTCGCTCATGGAAACCTGCCGCGGCGCCGCCCGGCGCCCCGCTGTGCTAATTACGCTGTAGCTCTCAGCTGATTGCTGTACCCTGAGCTTCAGCCCTCCGCTATTTATTTACCGACTACATTAGCGGCGCGGGCGGCACGGCTCCCGCGCGGCCGCGCAGCACGAGCCCGCGGCGGCGCCCGGCGCGCGCTGCTGCTGCTGCTGCTGCTGCTGCGCAGGAATTAACGCGCGCTTAGGCGTTAATTACGTGGAAGCTACAGTGCAATTAGCGGCACTTAATGCACAGCGTTACTTATTTTTTCACTGATGGATGAAACGCACGGGCTCTGCACGCGGGTGGGCGGCTGGGCACTGGCGCGGGCACCGCGGAGGCGGCCCGGCGCTCGGTCAGCTATCCCACCGGCTCTCTGGGCACGGGCGGCCTGGCGGGGTGGCCCCAGCTCCGGACAGGGGCGCATGCCGCAGCGCTTGGCCGCACGCTGCCAGGGGAGCTCGGCATCGGGCCGGCCGTGCGTGCGCGCACCCGCGCACGGCAGCTGGGAGCGATTACGCCGCAACAATGCTCTGTTCCATCAACATTATGTCCTCATTAAACCTTTATTAGTAGATTAGATTCAGATTTATTGATTTTTTTTTTTCTTTTTTGTCTTTGCAAGAGGGAATGCAGGCTCGCGCTGTCGGAGAGGAGTCTGTGGCTGCTGCTGCTGCTGCCTGCCGTGCTCCAGGACGGCGAGCAGGAACAACCAGGGCTGGACGGTCACCGTGGCCAGGGCGCGGCTGCTCCCCGTGTGGGAGCCAGGAGCGTCGCACGCTGCGCCAGGGGCCCTAGTGGTGCCAAGCGCCCAGGGCACTTGCTGGGCACCGCAGCCCTGCAGGGCCCTCGCCCGGGGCCCCGCCAGCCCGGTTCACTGCGCCCATTGGATTTGTCTGTTGGAGCGTTTGATGTTACATGAAGGCGGCTCGTTGCAGAGGGTGTTAATTGCCCGCTGCAGTGATCAGGTCTGTAGCAGCATCGATCCCGGCAGGATCAATGGGCTGATTTAGTGTCTCGCGAACTCTTTAACCGGACACCTCATCAATAGGCAGCCACTTAGGGCCCATCAGCGCATTAGCGCGCGCGGTGCCGCGGGCCGCGCCGGGCCGCGCTGTCACTCAGCGCAGTTTTCCTGCGGGTGAGGCCGGCGGCCGCGCGGCAGCGGAGCCGCGCAGCGCGGGACGTCCCGCGCGCGCCGCTGTCCGCGGTGCTGAAGCGCTGCCGCTCGCTCGCTCGCGCGYGCTCAGGCGCAGCGCCACGCGGCCCAGAGCGCGCCCAGCGTGGCGCCGTAGGCCGCCACGGCCGCCAGGTAGGCGCGGAAGAGCAGCACGTCCACCACGTAGGCCACCTGCAGCCACTCGTGCGCCGCGGCCTGCAGCTCCTCGCGSCGCCGCAGCAGCTCGCGGACGGCGGCCACCTCGCGCAGCAGCGCGCGCGCCCACCCGGAGCCGCCAGCCTCACCGGGCGTCTCGGGCTCCTGGGCGTCCTCCACGCTGCAGGGGCTTGGCCGCGCTGCAGGAGCAAAGGCTGTCGGAGGGGAGCTCTGTGCTCTGCACGCGGAGCCCGATGCGCCGCCCTTACCCGCGCTCTCGCTGTGCACCCTGCCTGGGCACAGCTCGCTGCGGTGGCGGATGCAGAGGAGCGCGGCGGCGCACTCCAGCACCCAGCGCCGCACCCAGGCGGGCACGTGCGGCTGCAGGTCCTGCTGGTGCACAAGGCGCACGATGAGCACAGTCTCCATGAGGCTGAGCACGAGCAGCGCCATGCACACCACGAAGTAGACACCTGTGGAGAAGGCGCACAGCTGAGCACRGCATGGGCTCGCCACGCGCATGCAGCCTCCCGTGCCCACGTGGCCACGTGGCCTCTCTGAGCTGCAGCACCTCCAGTGTCCCCAGCACCCCRTCCTGCAGGGACTAGTTGTGGCAGCAGCCCTGGCAACTGTCCTGGCAGTGCAGAGGGAGATGCAACCCACGCTACCGCTGCACAAAGCCCATTCCGTGCTGATGGGTGCACCGCCGTACCTATGAGTGGGGTGCCAATASTGGTTGCAGGAAGTGTGTCCGACACGATGATCAGGAAGACGGAGTAGCCCAGCAGGAGCGTGATCTTGAAGGAGACCCTCTCGCCGCTGTTGGGAGGTAGGTAGAAACCCACGAGGTCCGTAAGCATCAAGAAGATGCTGGGGAGCAGCAGGCTGACCGTGTAGAAGAGGGGACGTCTGCGGATGACGACCTGCCGGTACAGAGGGGAGATGGAAAGGACTTGAGGGGATGGGGATGGGGATGTGAAGCGAGCGTGGAGGGCTCTGCACTGCGTGGGGGCAGCGCCAGGGCCCTCCATGCACCGCGGGGAGGCCACGGCCCTTACGTAGAACTTGATCTCGGCGTAGCTGTCGCTGTCCTTGACGCTGAACTCCTGGATGCGGCTCAGCACGTGCAGCAGCTCCCACTCGCCCTGGTTCATGAAGACGCTCCTGTCGGCCTTGACCAGCTCCGGCGGGCGCCACAGCGACAGGTTGATGTCGTGGACTGGGGACACGGAGAGGTGAGCAGGGGAGCGTGCGGGGCGCTCTGTGCAGCGCAACTCCGAGCGCTCGCCTGCGCATCCGCGAGGCGCGAGGGCCCTCTAGAGGGGGATGCACGGCGAGCACTGAGCACACGGGACACGTGCGGGGCACACGCGCTGCGGCCACTCACTGTGGTGCAGCCAGCTGGTGAACGTGAGCGAGCAGTTCTGCACGTCGAAGGGGAAGCTGTAGATGTCGAGGCTGCAGGCGGTCATCACCTGGATGGGCTTGAGGTTGCGCACCTCTCCGTGGTGCTGCACGTACACGTAGGGGATCTCGGGGGACCTGCCCACGTCCACGCTGAGGGGTGGAGAGCAAGGGGCGCCTGAGCCGCAYGGGACCCCTAGGACCGCGCCGCGCTCGGGAGCTGGGCGCTTGCCCTACGCTCCTGCTGATCCCTTTGGGAAGAGCTGTGGCTGGGGGAAGGGTCGGGAAGGGAGCGCGCCCAGGGAAGCGCCCCGCACTCTTGGCCCCTCTGGGAGCAGCGCTGGAGCCATCACGCCACGGCCCTTGGCACCGCTGCAGGGCGGCCGCGGCGCGAGATGGCGAAAGCGCCGGCAGCGCGAGCGGGAGGGAGGGAGGCGGGCGCTCTGCAGCTGCCCCTGCATTGTGCGTCGCGAACAAAGCCCTTCTCCAAATATCTGCGTTCCCGCCCCGCCGCGGGGCGGCTAATTACGGCCGCGTGCGGCTCGCCAGCATTGGAAATGTCCCAGCTCCCGAGCTGCTTCCCCATCTGCRGCTAACCGGACGCGGGGCTACTGCCAGTTCCGTGCTGGGAATGCAAAGCGAGACGGGAGCGCGCGCTCACGGCGGCGGGAGCGAGAACGCGGGCACAGCTGAGGGGCCTGCGCGCTCACAACTCGTTGATGAGGATGTCGGGCACCCAGATGCTCTCAGCGGGCAGGGAGATCTGCGTGACGTTGTCGAAGCGCGCCGGGTCCCACTGCAGGAACTCRTCGGTCCAGTGCTGCGGGCACACGGAGCGCACGGCACAGCCGGTGCGTCGCGCATGCGCGACAGGCCCTACACGCGTCGGCGCGGCCCCACGTCCCGCTCACCTGCCGGTACCAGATGTACGTGGTCACCACCTGGTTCTTCTCGTCCTGCGGGAGCAAGGGGCAAGGGTGGGAGCGCGGCCGCGCCCCCTGCCAGCGCGGCGGCGGCCGCGGGCAGACGGGCGCTCACCACGCTCAGGATGGCGTACACCATGACGTCGAGGGCCACCGTGGTGGTGGTGCGCCAGTCGCGCACGGGCCGCACGCCGCGGCGGTAGCGAGCCAGCAGCTGCTCGGCCAGGCGCAGCAGGACGGGCTCACCGTGCGCCCCGCTGTCCCGTGGCGCTCCTGCAATGGCACGCGGTGCTTCGCGAGGGGACGCCACGCACGGGCGCACTGAGGACGCGGCGGGCGGCACCGACTCGTTGGGCGATGCAGGGGAAGAGGTGCCCGTTGGGACTGCAACTTCTCCAACCTGCTGCAGCGCCTCCCAAGAGCTGCAACCCGCCCCGGGCGCGCGGCACTGCCAAATGCAGCAGGGGCTTTCCTGCCACGGCCCCAGGGAGGTAAGCAGTGACAATCCRAAAATGGCAATTGCTCCCTGACAGCTTCGCAGCTGTTTCTGCACCGTGGGGAGCTATGGGCACACGCTATGTTATAGCATCGTCTCTGTGCATTATCACACCCAAAATTTTGGCCCTGTGTTGCGGCCGGAGACCCCCTCCCTCGCAGCTGGACGCGCCACACACCCAGGTAAGAAGTTTTGCAAGAAAAGCGTGTTCCAAGGCAGCCTTGGCACTCTCCATGCAGCTCACGGCTTGTGTCCCAGTGTTGCATTGTGCCTTTCAGCCCCATGGTCCTGCCCCCCATGCCGCCTGGCCCCGCTGCCCTACCTGGGTGCTGCAGTGTGGTGGCCAGCGGCAGCAGCACGAGGAGCACGCGGAGCGCGGCGTGTGCCATGGCCCTCTGCGCAGCAGCCAGGCGCCCGCGGGCGGCAGCGCTTTTTGCTCGCCCTGCCTGCCCGCCCAGGGGGCAGCCGAGAATGCCCACGTCACGCGGCCGCCTCCCCGGGGCGCTTCGGGTTTCAGGCACGGGCGCCTCCCTCATTGCGGCCACGGACTGCGGTGCCTCTGCCGATGCCCAGCTCCAGCAGCCTGCTAGGCAAAGCGGACTGGGGGCTGCCGCAGGACCCATCACGGCAGCACCTGGCCGGCACAGGGGGACAACCGTGCAGGCGTTTTCTTTTGGCAGCCCTGAGCTTGTGCAAGGAGCAGGCCTGCTGGCAACAGGGAGGTTACTGAGCCAGCTCCCTCCTCGCTGGGTTTTGTTGCTTTTGCCCCGTGCCGGTGTGCCCTTGTGCTGCTGTGCTGAGGCTAGGGAAGTCTCCTGCTGAGGGGAGCGATAYTGAGGCAGCAGGCAGGAATCGGAGCCCGTGGTGGTTCCGCGCAGCAAATTGCATCAGGCGGCAGCACCGAGTCTTGTGAGAGTTAGCGCGCGGCCCTGGAGCTCTGCTTGGGCGCCGAGAGCAGCGCGGGTGACAACGCAGCCGCTTCGACCACCGCCTCGGCGAGGGGGTCCCATCCGCACCCCGGCGCGRTGCTAACGCGCCCGGCAGCCCGCCTGCAATCAGCTCCCTCGTTAGCGTGATGCATGGCTGCATGGACTGCCGCTCCAGCGGGACGATTTCTGGGGCGCCTGCTACAAATTGGCAACTTCCAGATCCGATTTACCTGCCAAGAGGGCATAACAGCAGTTTATTAGCCAGCAAGCTGCCGTGCAGGAGCCGCTTTCCCGGGAACGGGAGCGTGGGGCCGGCTGGGGACGCGGCCCAGCTCCCTCCTCGCGTGGTGCGTGTCGGGGCCGCGCTGTGAAGCGGAGCACGGCCTGTGTCGCCAGCAGCTCTGCGCTCACACGGAGTGGCTGCTTGTGCGGTACCTGCCCCAGTACCGGGATGGGACTCGGAATGCTCCAGCGCGGAGCCTCCTCCTGGCCCCTTCCAGGCTCTCGGAGCTTTTCCTCGCCAGCAGCGCCCGTCACAGCCGCTCGCCGCCGAGCGCGACAGGGCTGCTACTTCTATCAAGTTAAACACCAACTTTCTCAATGCCAGCTGGCTGGCATAATTGCTTCTCTGGTGGCATTACTCACAGCTCTTTCCCCTTCCTTTTGCAGATACCTTCCATCTTGCTTGTTAAAAGCACAGGATATTTCGGAGAATTGGAATTCATTAGTCTTCCTAACAGAGGGTGCCTACTTAGCCCTAAATTGGTGGTTAGCAAACGTACGGATAATTCCCACGCATTCTTATTTATCTTCCCCAGTTCGGCAGAGTATAGAAACAGATGCCTCGGCGTCTGTCTGGGAGGCTCTAGTCAATGGAGTGGAATACAAAGGTATCTGGGATTCGGAATGGGYGAAACTCAATATAAGCAAATTGGAACTCTTCTCCGTTGACTGGATTACCTCCCTAATCAGATTTCCCCAAGGCCCTCGCAATAAGTTGATATTCCCCGGCAAATCTCGTCTTTTATGCCCGAAACAGGAGGCAAAAGGCCGCGCTGGAAGGCGGTGGTGGCGGCGCTGAGGCCGGGTGAGCACGCACGGTGCGAGGCTGCGCGCTCGGAGCCGCTCCATTAGCGTCGGCACCTGCCGCTGGGTGCGCTGGCCCGGCCCGCTCCACCGCGGTGCCATCTCTGCGCAGTGCTCCACGATGAGCCTCGGGTTGGGACGGGGAAAGGAATCTYCTCGTGCCCATCCCGCCTAAGGGAGCTGCCTGCCCGGATCCACGAGCCGATCCCCCACAAGTGGCATGGAGCCAGGGCTCGGGGCAGCATCCTCCGCGAGCCGTTGCGAGCGCCTTCCCTKCCGCCCCGCAGAGGCGGCACTTCCAAAGGTGTCTTTGCTCGCTCGGCGAGACACCTGCGGGAAACGCTCGCCTGACCTGCACCCAGGCTCTGCCTCTTCGCATGCCCTCCAATGCAATTGCACCTCCCAGCAAGGAGGAATTAGAGAGCTGCAAGACAGGAGGTAATTACAGTGCTTGCAGTTATTCATTAATTCCTGTAGCATATTTCCTGTAATTAATACCATGCCCACACGGTGCCTAGACTACAACGCTTGCCAGCACCTCAGACGTATTTCGGCAGCTTTCAGAATAGCGAAGCGGGTCAGGTAAACTGAGAAGAAGGAAGCTTGAAGGGCGCCGACCTTCCAAATGTGCTCTAGGAGATGCTGCCAAAACTGAAGGAAATAGAATCACCTCCAAATCGAGCGCTATTATTAGTGCAGCAGACTCCCAGAATTGGCAGAATCTCTTTCTCTGCTGGGTTTCAACTTTGCCTTTTTTTCTCTCTTGCACATAAGGCAGGTTGGATCTCGCTGCTTGGGCTGTGTAGCGACGCTGCGTTCGTCAGCCCTCGCAGCCCTTGTCCCCCAGCCGCCCCAYGTGCGCGCACGCACGGGGAAGGCAGAGGGGCTGCAGGCTGCAAAGCGCCCAGCACATCCAGCCCCACACGCTGACACTCAGCGCGACCCTGCAGCTCTGCTCTGCGTCCTGCAGTGCGGTTGTTGCAGGCCAAAACGCCCGTGTTTATGGTGAGGAGAAGCCCTCAGGAGAATCAGGAGTCAGAGCGCAGTGTCCTGTGTGCAGGACAAATGAAGACTGGTGGTGGTGACACGTTCCTGAGTGCTCCTCAGAGCTGCAAAGAGGGATTTTGCTTGTGGGCCTTGGCAGCCCGTGGGGAGCAGGGCCTCGTGGTGCTGCAGGGAGGGAGCAGAGCRGCACCGTGCATGGGCACCATGCAACCCATAGCGCCTGCACAAGCGTGCCRGCTTTTGCAGCGGCACAATGAGACCTGCAGGAAGCCACACATGAGATGTCCCCGTGCAACAGAGTGCGTTCATGCACACAGTGCTGCAAGGGACACGGGGCCACGCGCTGCCACGCTGTGATTTATCGGTGCCACTGTGACCACGATGCACAGAACCRTGCAGGGACACAACACAAGGCCTGGCCGAGCCAGCACCACCTTGCAGCACGGATCCCTAATGAGGCTAACGAGCCTCCTCACTGCAGACACTTTGGGGTGCACCCGCCGCTCAGGTGCTGGTGTGCTTTGTGCCACGCTGTGTGCTCTGCCCTGAGCCCGCCTTAAACCCCGGGGCTGATGCACGCGGAGGTGGTGGGGGTGACCGTTTATGCAAACGGGTGATTTTTGGGGGTGGGGGGAAGTGTTTTGTTTTGAAACTCAGCGGGTCGCTGTCGTGGGACGGACCCCGCGGTGGGAGGCGGCACTTGGGGACCCCGCGGCGCCC